TATTTTACCTTTGCTTTTATCCTTTTCTTTATCTATGTAATTAGTCACCTTTATTTACTTTCATTCTTGTATTGGTCTTTTTCTAAGTGTTATTCTTAAACCCTTTATAAGCAAGTTTTTGTTAAATTAATAACATACATTCAAGAAGGACTTGTTTCCGTCCCAACCATTTCCGTTGCACTATTTCCGTGTGCAATTCCCGTGTGCAATTTCCGTTGAATTTGCCAAGTTACTCCCAACCAACCAACCGCTAAAGAAGTTTCACTTCAAAAAAAAAATCTTAAATTCCATGCTCCGTCTGATAGTGATTGAACCCGGACAGCCTTGGTAGCAAACCAATAGTATCAAGCATCTTTGCACACTCAGCTACAGCCACGCATGTAAACGTGCTTTCATATGTTGAGTTTGAATCAACACCACATTTCACTGTGTTGATGCCGTCAGTTCATAAGATTTGCTCTCTCTCTCTGTGAAACATATAAAATAAGGGATATTGAGGCAAACATTTTCTATTTCGGTTTAGATTTTAAACATAATTTTCTAAATATGAAACCTAAAACTGGAATTAAAACATTTTGGTTTGATTTTTAAACCACTCATAGCAAAACATCATTTTCTCGGCTGCTGGACTAAAATTTAAACCAGAATATATTAAAAATTGCTTAAAACTATTGACTGGTTTGAAAAGTAGACTATAATAGATTGAAAAAGGCAGTAGTCCCAGCGCGGTTTAAAAATTAAACCCAAATTTTTGACCGTGTTCCTATCGGAAATCAATAAAAATATTTCCCACAAATGTTAAATGGTAAGCATATAGCGATTAAAAGTTCCCGTTCGGACGTTCCCAAAATGGAACTCGTATCGAAGATGACTGATGATTTTTGCTAAATTCTGCGAATCTGTTAATGGTACAAAAAAACTATGTATGAATGGTTGTTAGAATAATAAGCAGCCATAACCGTTGCGTCAACTTGAACTTCCTAACGATGTTTAGTAACTGCCAAAAACTGTTCAAAGTTGTTTGGACATTCCCGTTCGGACGTTACGATTTTTTCCAATGGATACATTTTTTTTTTTAAGAATTTAAACACACTTGTTTAATGGAAATATGATGTTTTATTGTAAATAAATCTACATATATATGAAGGCCTTATTACCGTTCGTTGAAGTCATTTCTTCGAACAAGCAGACGTACATATCGACGCCTCGAAACCATACAATGCTAAGGGCCGGTTGTTCAATGTCTGGTTATCACTACTCGCCGGTTAAACATCATTATCGACGTTTTCGACATAATGCATATAACCTGTGATCGATAAAGCAGTCGTTGTATTTAACCGGAGCTTCTACCTCCGATTTGTGCTAATCAGACATTGAACAACCGGCCCTAAGGGCCATTTTCACCATCTCTGGTTAACACTAATCCCCAGTTAAACATCGTTACCGACGGTACTGACTCCATTCATTTAACATTGGGTCGGTAACGTCGGTAAAACTGTTTAACTGGGGATTAGTGTTAACCAGAGATGGTGAAAACGGCCCTTAGTCTGACTAAGTCCAAACGCTTAAACAGACGGCAGCGTTGATCCGGATTAACTCGGACTTAATTCGGATCAACTGCAGTTAATTCCCGAGTTGATCCGGATCAACGCTGCCGTCTGTTTATGCTTTAAGCTGACTTAGCATAGTATGGTTTGGAGGCGTTACTCACAAAATTGAATATACGGTTTTTTTGTTAATATTCGCAATATTTTACACGCAAATTTTTTTTATCTTGTATTAAAATATGGCTTATATTTTAGCAAACCCCATTTAAATCCAGATATGAATCTGTCTACGAAAATTATGAAAAATCTGCAGAGCAAACTTTTTAACAAAAATTTCTAAAAAAAAAATCAGGTATGCAGTTTTATAGCCCATTCAGTTTTAGTATATCTAATAATGTGCAAATTTCAAGTGTATAAACAATTCTCAAAAATGATCGCGAATTTTTAGACCTTTGAAATTTGCACATTATTTTACTAAAACTGAGTGGGCTATACAACTACATATCTGATTTTTATACCCGAGCGCACTTGTGCACAAGGGTATTATACCTTTGTTCACATAACGGTTGTTTGTAACAGGCAAAACGAATCGAGGTAGATATAGACAAATGTATACATAAATGATCAGAATGAGAAGAGAAATCGATTAAGCGGTGACTGTCTGTCCGTCCGTCCGTCCGTCCGTCTGTGCACCCGATAACTCGAGTAAAAATTGATATATCTTAACAAAACTTGGTACGTACACTTATATACACGTATATAACGGTAATTTTCAGAAATACGAAAACTGCGATATTTTAGTAACTACTGAACATTATTCACTCAAAATTGATTTTTACCAGGGACCGCAAATAACGATTATCCTTTCAAATTTTAACTCAAAAAATCACGCGGAAAGAGAAATG